GAACTCTGTTTATAATGTGTCTTGTTTTCCTTATCTCCTTATAAAGTGTCCTTTTCTTTGCATAATGTTTCCTTCATATTTCTTGGGCTCTAACCTGTAGGTTTATAGTTTTTACAACATACTGAAAAATTGCCCAGACATCATTTCTCTCTTATTTTTGTCTCCTTAGGGAGTTCAAATGTACATTCAGCTGTATGAAGATGACACAAGAGCCCATTGGTGCTCTATTCATTTATTAAATTTTCTTTTATCTTCATGTTTCATTTTGCACAGTCTCTATCCCTCTAACTTCAAGTACTCTAATCTTTTCTCCTGCAGTATCTAACCTGCTGTTAGTCACTTACACTTTTAATCTCACACCATGTAGTTATTTCTAGATGTTCAACTTTGTCCTTATATTATTTACTTTTTAAACATATAGAACAAAACTATACTAACTTTATTAATGTTCTTGACTGCTAATTCTAACATGTACATCACATCTGGGTCACTTCTGATTGACTGACTTTCTAATTATGAATCATATTCTCTCAATTCCTTGCAAATCTGATTATTTTGAATTAAATGCAACATAATTATTCTAGGATTCAATTACATTCTTAATTGGGTGCCACATAATTATCCTAGGATTCAGTTAAGTTGTTTGAAAAAAGGTTCATCCTTTTAGATCATTCATTTAAAATGAATATTAATTCATCTAAAATGAATTTAAAATGAACAAATTTGAGTCAGTTGCAGTGAGGTGGATGAACCCAGAGTCTATTATACAGGGTGAAGTAAGAAAGACAAAAACCAGTATCATTTATTAACATATGTATATGAAATGTAGAAAAACAGTACTGATGAACCTATATAGAGAAGAAATGGAGACACACAAATGGAACTTGTGGACAAAGCAGGGTACAGAGAAGCTAGGAGAACCTGAGAAAGCAGCACATTGCGTGCATGTGCTTAGCCACTCAGTTATGTCTGACTCACTGAGACCCCAGGGACCAGGCTCAGCAGGCTCTCCTGTTTAAGGGATTCTCCAGGCAAAAATACTGGAGCGGGTACCAATTACCTTCTTCGGGGGATCTTTCTGACCTAAGGACTGAACCCAGGTCTCCTGCATTGAAGGCACTGTCTTTACTGTTTGAACCACAAGGAAAGCCCCATATACATATTATATACATCATGTGTAAAATAGGAAACTAGCAAGAAGCAGCTAAATAACACAGGGAGTCCAGTCTGGCACTCTGTGACAATCTAGATGGGTGCGATGGGGTAGGGGAAGAGAGGTTCAATAGAGGTTGTGTCTGGCACTCTGTGACAATCTAGATGGGTGGGATGGGGTAGGGGAAGAGAGGTTCAATAGAGGATGTGTGTGTGTGTGTGTGTGTGTGTAGTGGTGGTATATAGCCTTGTCTAACTCAATGAAACTATGAGCCATGCTGTGTAGGGCCACCCAAGACAGACGGGTGATGGAGGAGAGTTCTGACAAATGTGGTTCACTGGAGAAGCGAACAGCAAACCCCTTCAGTATTCTTGCCTTGAGAACCCCATAAACAGTATGAAAAGGCAGAAAGATAGGACACTGAAAGATGAACTCCCCAGGTCAGTAGGTGCCCAATATGCTACTGGAGATAAGGGGAGAAATAACTCCAGAAAGAATGAAGAGATGGAGCCAAAGCAAAAACAACACCCATTTGTGGATGTGACTGGTGATAGAAGCAAGGTCCAATGCTGTAAAGAGCAATATTGCATAGGAACCTGGAATTTTAGGTCCATCAATCAAGGCAAAGTGGAAGTGGTCAAACAGGAGATTGCAAGAATGAATGTTGACATTTTAGGAATCAGTGAGCCAAAAAGGACTGGACTGGGAGAATTTAACTCATGTGACCATTATATGAACAATTGTGGGCAAGAATCACTTAGAAGAACTGGAGAAGCCAGCAAAAATACACTCTGGAATGTAGTACTTTGATGCAGTCTCAAAAACAACAGAATGATCTCTGTTCATTTCCAAGGCAAACCATTCAACATCACAGTAATCCAAGTCTATGCCCTGACCAGTAATGCTGAAGAAGCTGAACAGTTCTATGAAGACCTACAAGACCTTCCAGAAGTAACAACCAAAAAAGATTTCCTTTTCATTATAGGGGACTAGAATGCAAAAGTAGGAAGTTAAGAAGCACCTGGAGTAACAGGAAAAATGGCCTTGGAGTACAGAATGAAGCAGGGCAAAGGCTGATAGAGTTTTGCCAAGAGAACACACTGCTCACAGCAAACTCCCTCTTCCAACAACATAAGTGAAGACTCTACACATGGACATCACCAGATGGTCAATACCTAAATCAGACTGATTATATTTTTTGCAGCCAAAGATGGAGAAGCTCTATACAGTCAGCAAAAACAAGACCGGGAGCTGACTGTAGCTCAGGTCATGAACTCCTTATTGCCAAATTCACACTTAAATTGAAGAAAGTACAGAAAACCACTAGACCATTTAGGTAGGACCTAAATCAAACCCCTTACAATTATACAGTGGAAGTGAGAAACAGATTTAAGGGATTATATCAGATAGAGAGCCTGATGGACTATGGACAGAGGTTCGTGACATTGTACAGGAGACAGGGATCAAGACCATCCCTAAGAAAAAGAAATGCAATAAAGCATAACGGCTGTCTGAAGAGGCCTTCAAAGAGTTGTGTAAAGAAGAGAAGCAAAAAGCAAAGGAGAAAAGGAAAAATACATCCATCTGAATGCAGAGTTCCAAATAATAGCAAGGAGAGAGACGAAAACATTCCTCAGTGATCAATGCAAAGAAACAGAGGAAAACAATAGAATGGGAAAGACCAGAGATCTCTTCAAGAAAGTTAGAGATACCAATGGAATATTTCATGCAAAGATGGGCACAATAAAGGATAGAAACAGTATGGACCTAACAGAAACAGAAGATATTAAGAAGAGGTGGCAAGAATACATAGAAGAACTATACAAAAAAGATATTCATGACTCAGATAACCATGATGATGTGATCACTCACCTACAGCCAGACATTCTGGAATGCAAAGTCAAGTGGGCCTTAGGGACCCTAACTACGAACAAAGCTAGTGGAGGTGATGGAATTCCAGTTGGGCTATTTCAAATCCTTAAAGATGATGCTGTGAAAGTGCTGCACTCAATATGCCAGCAAATCTGGAAAAGTCAGCAGTGGCAACAGGACTAGAAAAGGTCAGTTTTCATTGCAATCGCAAAGAAAGGCAATCCCAAAGAATGCTCAAACTACCACACAATTTCACTCATCTCACACGCTAGTCAAGTAATGCTCAAAATTCTCCAAGTCAGGCTTCAACAGTACATGAACCGTGAACTTCTAGATGTTCAAGCTGGATTTAGAAAAGGCAGAGGAACCAGATATCAAATTGCCAACATCTGTTAGATTATTGAAAAAGAGAGCTCCAGAAAAACATTTATGTCTGCTTTATGGACTATGCCAAAGCCTTTGACTGTGTGGATAATAACAAATTGTGGAAAATTCTGAAAGAGATGGGCATACCAGACCACCTGACCTGTCTCCTGAGAAACCTGTATGCAGGTCAGGAAGCAACAGTTAGAACTGGGCATGGAACAACAGACTGGTTCCAAATAGGAAAAGGAGTACGTCAAGGCTGTATATTGTCACCCTGCTTATTTAACTTCTATGCAGAGTGCATCATGAGAAACGCTGGGCTGGATGAAGCACAAGCTGGAATCAAGATTGCTGGGAGCAATATCAATAACCTCAGATATGCAGATGACACCACCCTTATGGCAGAAAGTGAAGACCTAAAGAGCCTCTTGATGAAAGTGAAAGAGGAGAGGGAAAAAGTTGGCTTAAAACTCAACATTTAGAAAACTAAGATCATGGCATCCAGTCCCATCACTTCATGACAAATAGATGGGGAAACAATGGAAACTGTGACATATTTTATTTTGGGGGGCTCCAAAATCACTGCAGATGGTAACTGCAGCCATGAAATTAGAGGACGCTTACTCCTTGGAAGGAAAGTTATGATCAACCTAGACAGTGTATTAAAAAGCAGAGACATTACTTTACCAACAAAGGTCCATCTAGTCAAGAATACTGTTTTTCCAGTAGTCATATTTGGATGTGAGAGTTGGACTATAAAGAAAGCTGAGTGTAGAAGAATTGATGCTTTTGAACTGTGGTGTTGGAGAAGACTCTTGAGAGTCCCTTGGACTGCAAGGAGATCCAACCAGTCCATCCTAAAGGAAATCAGTCCTGAATATTCATTGGAAGGACTGATGTTGACGCTGAAACTCCAATACTTTGGCCACCCGATGGAAAGAACTGATTCACTGGGAAAAATCCCGAGGTTGGGAAAGATTGAAGGCGGGAGGAGAAGTGGACAGCAGAGGATGAGATGCTTGGATGGCATCATCGACTCAATGGACATGAGTTTGAGTAAACTCCACGAGTTGGTGATGGACAGGGGGGCCTAGCTTGCTGCAGTCCATGGGGTCGCAAAGAGTCGGACATGACTGACCTGAACTGATATATATATGTATATATATGATTTTATATATAATTTACATATATATATATAAAATTATGACTGATTCTTGTTGATGCACAGCTGAGACTACCACAATATTATAATGCCATTACCCTCCAATAAAAAAAATCACCTCTAAGGTAAATATTGATTTAAAAATGTGTTAAGGGAGACTGCAGCAATGCTCAATTTAATTATTCCTCAATACTGAGTTAAGACCTTATTATGTACATGACCCAATGCTCCATGAATTTGGAGGTTTTCCCATCTTGGTAGGAACAGACACTATTACTCCCTATATGTGAGTGCCAGACACTGTTCTCGCTAATCCTTTTGGATGATTCGTTCCTCAGTCTCAAGCAATTTCTATTTATGCATGAGCTGAAAAGGACTTTGCTTAATAATGGAAAGGAATTCTCTGGAGATTCTGGAACTCCTTCTCTCTAGTCCTGAGTCCTAGAACTCTAGCTTCCTTGTTCTTTCTAGATTATCAGTGACTTCTAATGCAGAGAAGTCTGCTGGGCTCCACCTGGTACCTCAAAGCTACCTCCCAACCCCGCATGAAGGTCTGCAATTCTCTTGAGACAGTAAGTTGAGACAGTCATAAAATCATGACATAGATTTCCTGTCTTTCAGGCACCGCTGTCCTTCACTGCCATAAACCCAGTGTCTTGCAAAATTCTGTTTTATGTCATCTTGTTTTCTGATGGGATAGTAGATTCGGTCCTGGTTACTCTGTTTGCTTAAAAGCTCAAATGTCTTCATAAGTATTTTTCTTTAGATATCCTACCATCATCCGGCAGAGGCAGAAACTTTGGTTAACTTACTGCTACTATATCCACAGAAACTAAAAGAGAAGCAGGCACATTTGTTAAATTATCAATGCTAACTACAAATGTATACTGTACCACAAAAAAGATTCTGTAGAAAGGTGCCAAATATCAAATGCAGATGTCTATCGTGAAGCAACAGAAATTCTAACTTGTTAGTCTTCTTTGTCTATTTATCTGCTTTGAGCTCAAATAACTAAGAAATTTACATCCACTCAGGAGGAGAACAGCTCTTTGCATTTTTCATCAATGAGATTTCTGTGTGCTTCTGTTTACTCTTTATACACACCTAAAATCTTAGAATTGGAATAGTAAGCTCTTTATCTGTAGATCTAAATATCTGTAATTCAGAAAGGCCTCTAATATGTATAAGTGTGTAATGTTTTCCTACCTCCATATGGTATTAATAAGAAGTTTATAAAGTCTCTAAAATTAAGAGTTCTGTTCTGGCAGGCTACTGAGTATAAATAAGGTCCTACATAAACTAAATATTCCTAAAATTACCAGAAAGCAAGAAATTAAATTTCTAATACTTTAAATGTGGTAGATTAAAAAATAATTCTTACATAAACAAACTCAAAAACATTTTCTAAATCTAGGTTCACATAATTTAGGTGAACACCTGCCAAACAAGATCAGCTTAATAAAATTTTTTTTAATAAAAAACAGCTATGTATTCTTAGTATTTTATGAGTGTTAAATGTAATACAAATGCATATTTTAATTCTACTTGTCATGTCCTTCCCAAATATATACAGATTAACTGCTCAAATAAGCTACCATTATTTCTCCTCTATGTTCAGGATTACAAAAACCTTAATTTGACTGAATTGAATCATTATTCTAATGAACTTCATTCAACAATAATTATGTTGCAGTATGTCGGTTTGAACATAATTTTCAAGATCTTTAAGTAACTTAAAACCTAAAACTAATATTAAATTGAGTTCTTTAATGGATATTCATTACTTACCTAGGCCATATCTAAGAATGAATACTGAAATATTGATTACTAAATCCACTTTTATGTATATATGGTTTCAGTTTTTATTTTTATAAGCTACAGAGAGTCTGAATATTTCAGTTAATGACATGCTCATTTTTGCTACGAGATTGTATAAGGGATGTGTATGGCTGTAGAAAATTAGTTATGTTTATTCATGATCTTTGCTAAAATGCTAATATGTGGCAGGCAGTGCACAATTATCCACCCCTTCAGTTTTTTTTTCCTGTGAATAAGTTAGTTACTTTAGTTAAAAGTTGTAATACAAAAAGTTGACATTACATTTAAGAACAGCAATTTCTAAAATATACATGTTAAAACTCTTATGTGCTCTATTTTTGAAGGAAAAGAACACTTCTGACCTAAAGTAGCGGTTTTGAAGATTTTTGGTTTCCAAACACCCTTTCAACACTCAAAATTTACAGAGGACCTCAATCAGTTTACTTTGTGTGGGTATCTGTGTTTGTGTATCTGTGTGCGCATACTGAAAACTGAAAATACATTACATGCTTATTTACTCATCCATTTCTAACTAGCAACAATGAACACACTGGACATTAATAACATATTAGTGATATTACAGAATTAATCCTGACTTTATGGAACCAGTAAAATGAATCCTTAAGTAAGGTGTCAGTTTGTTCCAGAAAATGAAAGTGTCATGAGGACAAAACTTGAAAAGTGAATTTTATTTGCATTGGTTTGTAATCTTTGAATATGAAAGTAAAGAAATGTGTTAAAATCATACCAACGTTTGTCCAATTTTAAGAGGTTGTTTCATTAATTACACTTTTGTCTAAGACCTTTTTGCTAGTTTGTTTGCTTTGCTTGCCACAGAAACAACTAAGTTTTCTTCTTGGTTACAATATTCCTCTTATGAACTCTCATCAAATTTTCCACTTTGGAAATTATACCTGCTTAATTAACCACAGCCTTAATTTACATCTCTGTTATTTTACACATAGTTTATTGTTTTACTCTGATGTTTCCTTTTAAGCCCTGCACCCAGCAACAGGCTAGGCTAGGGCTCTTGTTTAGTTGCTAAGTCATGTCCTACTCTTCGTGTCCTACTATTCTGCGACCCCATGGAGTATAGCACACCAGGCTCCTCTGTCCGTGGGATTTTCAAGGCAAGAACATTGGAGTGTGAGATATGATAAATAACCAAGACTTCAAGGGAAAGGCTCATGAGGACAGGCTTCTCCTGTCATTACTTTAACAACTTTAAGAGCAGATCAGTGGGCTGAGTCAGGATTTCCAGGGCTTTTTTTAGTTGAGAAGCAAAGAAATTCATAAGATTAATAACCTAAGATCCAGTGGAGCAAGAATGAATTATAAAGGACTGAATGAAGTGATGAAGGTTCATCAGTTATTTTTTTAAATTTGTTTAAAACATCATTGATACTGTTTTAATGTCCTGTTTTCTGTTTCAGTTTTCTTAATATATCTACACTCCATAACAATTTAGTAGATTCTGCTTTGTAAACTAAAATATTTTTAAATGATATCTTATTCTCACTGACCTCTAAAAATTCAGAAACTCTTGAGGCTTATTTTTCATGAAATGAGTTATTTGCAAGATTCAATAAGAACTGGTTTTCCTATTTACCAGAATATGCCTAGAAAAATTCCAAGGTCTTGTGTGGAATGCCATATTTGAGGGTAATGCTTATTTAATCAGATATAATTAGACACGTTTAAAGAATCAAGGTTGGCCTTACAGAGCCATTATTAACAAAATGCTCCTAGAAAAAGTACCCTGTTACCTGGCTGACAGGGTCCAGTCTAATAACTAGGAAAAAAAATATGACTTCCGGGTGGGCCACTGTGGGATATTTAGGGAACTATAAGAAGAAAGAAATTCACCTAAATATACATGTACTGCAGGTGGTGGAGAAGTTTCCTGAGTTTGACTTTCCAGACTCAAGACAGCAAGTATTAGACTTTCAAAAGTACCATATTAACTTCCGACAAAATCTTCCAACAAAAGCAAACTGTAAAATGTTTAAATATAAAGTGATAATCCTGCTGTACCTATGTAAATAATCACACCAAATCTAATGAAACCAACCTTTCTTCAGACTTTTTTTTTATCAAACAGTGGAAGATCTGTGCTTCAAGGGAACACTATGCATTATCTACAGTGAACTCTTCAAAATTATGTTTTTCTCATTTCATAAGAGCCAATTTCCATCTCTATAAATTACAGATATGCAACAGCAATGCAAAATAATTTTTATCTGCAATCAAGCAAATTCTGTCTTGTCATATTGAAGTTCAACTGACCGCCCTCAAAGTCAGTTCTATTTTCATTTTTGCATTCATTTAATATTCCTCATCTACAATTTTGACTGTTCTTTGAATTGGGAAAGTTATAGTATCTAACCAGTTTCTTCATTACTAATTAAATGAAATCTTTGAAACTTGTACATTTTATAATGTATAAGAGTCATGCTTTACCTTTGCTTTGAAAATCATCTCTTAAACTAATCAACTATTCAAAACTTTAATACCCTCAGATTCTATTTTCTATCTACAAATACTCTTCCACTATTTCCTTGTGTTAAGGGTGCTACATTAGAAATTTTTTGTTTAAATTCTCTGAAATTCCTTCACTCTCCCAGACAAAATATCAGTCACATTTGGAATGTTTAGAGTCCAAAGTTTTAATGATTTGCAAATGTAGGCTATACCCAAAAATGAAAATAAAGAGGTGGTTTTGATAGTCACCTACTCACACATATGTTCACATGCACAGTCTTAAATTTTTAAATAAAATTGAATCACTGATCCTAAACTGCATATCAGATTATTTCATGCTCTGAAACTGTGAGTGATCTTTATTAGATGCAAAGGTTTCTTCCAAAATATTAGAAGAGAACTGTGTCCACAGAGAAGTACAGAGCACTCAATTTTCAAGATTTGAAGCTGAAACCCTAAGAAGCAGAAAGCTTTGTATGTGACAGCTTAAATGCCTGTAATCAAACTAATTGGCAGCACAATGACCTGGAATGAGCTTAAAAGTGCTATAATAAATGTTTAGCAATCAGTGGAACAATCCTTTATTGTTCAGGCTCACATTTTGCAGTTTTATCATCTTACAGAATGAAATTGGGGGGGCAGGCTGGAGAGCAGAAAATAGGAGAAAAGGAAAAATATGTAAATAATTCTATTACTTCAAAAGAGTAAACGAGTGAAACTATTGCTGAATGATGGGAAAAAGAGTTAAAATGTAATAAAATTAGCCTAATGACTAAAATCAGGAGTAAAAACATTAAATGAGCTATCTGTTGCCTAAAGAAATACTCTGAACATACAAACTGACAGAAACACAGATTCTATTAATGAAAATGTAATGTATTATAGGGCTTCCCAGGTGGCTCAGTGGTAAAGAATTCTCCTACCAAGGGCAGGAGACGAGGGTTTGATCCTAGGTCAGGAAGATCCCCTGGAGAAGGAAACCCACTCCAGTATTCTTGCCTGAGAAATCCCATGGACAGAGGAGAGAGCAAGGCAGGCTACAGTCCACAGGGTCACAAAAGAGTTGGACACAATTTTGTGACTAAACAACAACAAACGTATTATACATAAAACTCACTGGATAATTTTCTCAAATAGAGGAGTACCTGGACCCCTAAAAGTAATTCTAGCAAGAACTCATGGAATCTTCTTCCTGCCCTCTGCAAACATAAAAACATTCTACCCAAAACTTGAGAGTCTGCACATAAGTATGACAAAGAAACTATGTGGCAGAAAAAATATCAAGTACAAATAAAGGTCAGATTTAAACAGATATTTAAATGACTCTTGGACAAGCAATATTATAGCAAGAAAAGATACAAACATTTGTTAAAACAAATGTGTTTATAATTAAATCATGTGGTAATGACAACTGAAAAGGTCTCTAGAATTAATCATACATGTGTACAACTAAGGTCTATGAACATGTGTCAGGATGACTCCTCAAAAATCTCTTGAGAAACTTATTATGAATCAAATGCTTCTAGGTTAGCTGAGGTGAAGGTGCTGAAACTGATACTTTTGAAAAGTAAAAACCTTTCGAGGAAATACCACACTTAAAAAAAACACACAGGTCAAAGGAGAAATCTCAAGATAAATATCTTCAACTAAGTGAAAATAAAATATAACATTGAAATTTGTGGAATACAGTGAAAAGAGTCCTAAAGAAACTTTATACCAATGAATCCATATATTAGAAGACTTTTAAAATCAATAATCAATGTTTCCACATAAGGAAATGATAAATCAGAGCAAATTAAATCCTAAGCAGAAGAAAAAAAATTAATACAAATTAGAGGACAAATCAATGAAGTTAAAAACAGAAACTCAATAGAGAAGATCAATAAATCCAAAAGCTGGTTCTCTGAAAAGGTAAAAAAAAATCAATAAGCCTCTATCCAGGCTAACTTAGAAAAAGAAAGAAGACATAATTTATTAACATTGGGATGAAAGTGGGGACATCACTACAAATCCCATGGACATTAAGCAAATAATAATGAATATAAAGAAGGACGCTATGCCACAAATAATATGACTTGGATGAAATGGACCAATTCCTTGAAAGATACTTCTGTCATAACTCAAGAAGAAATAAGTAATCTGAATAAGCCTGATTAAAGAACTTGAAGCAATAATTATCTTCCAAACAGAAAGCACAAGAACCAGATGAGTTTACTAGTGAATTCTACCAAACACTGAAGTATGAAATTATGCCAATTCTCTACAATCTCTTTCAGAAGGTAAAAGAAGAAAGAATACTTTATAACTCATTCTATGAGGCCAGCATTACTTTAATATCAAAACTGGACAAAGACATTAGAAAAAAACTACAGATCAATATCTTTCATGAACATCCATGCAAAAATCCTCAATAAAATATTATCAAATCATACCCAACAATGTATAAAAAGAAATACACATCACAAATGAGTAGGATGTATGCCAGAAAAGCAAGAACAACATTTGAATACTAATTAATGCAATCTATCACATCAGCAGACTGAAGGAGATTAATCATGTGAGCATATCAATAAACAAAAAAAAAAGCATTTGAAAAAATCAATACTCATTCATGATAAAAACATGTCAGCACACTGGGAATAAAAGGAAACTTCCTATCCTTGATAAAGCATACCTACAAAAAAATCTACAGCAAATATCATACACACTGGTAAGAATCTCAATGCTTTTCTGTAAAACCAGGAACAAGGCAAGGATGTTTCCTCTCATTACTCCTTTGCAACATCAAACTGGATGTCCTAGTTAATACAATAAGACCAGAAGAGGAAATAAAAAGTAAATAGTTTTGGAAGGAAGAAATAAAAATGTCTTTATTCACACATGAAATAATCACCTATGTAAAAAATCCAAAAGAAATATTAAATGCTCCCTTTAGAAACAGTAAGTGAAAAGAGTAAGGTTTCAGGAAACAAGATTAATATTATGAAGTTCAATCACATTCCTATATGACAGCAATTAACAAGTGGAGTTTAAATTTTAAAACATACTATCATTTACATGAGCACCCCCCAAAGTAAAACATTTAGTTATTAACATAACAAAGCACACACAAGATTTATACCAGGAAAGCTATTACAAAACTCT